CTGCTCCACAGAGGGTGAGGTCCTCCATGGGGGATCTTCAAAGTCTGTCATGTATCTAGACTGAGTGAGTATCCCTCTATGTGGAATGGGCTCCATAGATTACCCAGGCCTCCTAACTGATACTCATGTCTGGATCAGCCCTATGCTGGTTTCCCAGCTATCAATCTGGGAATAAACCATCCTGAGTGAGGGTGCCCAGTCACAAAAAGACGAACATGGTATGCACTCACTCATATATGGATTTTAGATATACAGCAAAGGATTACCAGCCTACAATCCACACTGCCAGAGAAGCGAGGAAACAAGGAGGACCCTAAGACAGACATACATGGACCCCAGGAGAAGGAGAAAGGGACAAGATCTCCTGAATGAATTGGGAGCATGGGAGGAGGGGAAAGGGAATTAGTAGAAAGAGAACGGGAGAAGAGGAGGGCAAAGGAGGACAGGAGAGAGCAGGAAGATTGAGTGGAGAGATGAATATAGAGGAGAGCAAGAAAAGAGATACCATAGTAGAGGGAGCCATTATAAGTTTAAAGAGAAACTTGGCACTAGGGAAATGTCCAGAGATCTACAAGGATGACACCAACTAACAATCTAAGCAATACTGGAAAGGCTACCTTAAATGCCCTTCCCCGATAATAAGATTGATGACTACCTTATATGCCATCCTAGAGCCTTCATCCAGTAACTGATGGAAACAGAAGCAGACACCCACATCTAAACACTGAGCTGAACTCCTGAAATCCAGTTTCAGAGAGGGAGGAGTGATGAGCAAATGGGTCAAGACCAGGCTGGAGAAATCCACAGAGACTGCTGACCTGAACAAGGGGAGCTCATGGACCCGGGCTGAAAGTGCTTTTGACAAACCCTTAACACTACTTTTCTACCACATAGAATCCCACAATCATACCTCCCCCACCATTTTACATTAAAACTTCAGACCCTGAATTTATATTCAAGTTTTTTCCCCATCTATTCTCATAACCACTTCTGAGTTTATGTGTCTAATTGTCAGTCTCTTCTATGTTTGTCATGTGACGATACCTTTATTTCCCGTTGATTCTTCTGTGTATTTCAAATTTTGTTTTAACTTACTCAGCATGTCTATGTATCAGAAAGATTGGACATCAAACCTACAGTAGTCCATTTACTTCTAATTAACTCAGCAACAGTCTGAAAATAAAGCAAGTATAATTTCTCCATTTCAAATTTGGGGCTGAGAATGTATCTCAGTGGTAGATCACCAGCCTCACATGTATGAATTCCCAGATTCAGGCCAACCACCATAAAAATAAATGAATAAAATGAAAATTATTGTGACCTTATAAGGTACTGTAATCAGTATTTGCCAAGTTATATGATTAATTCAAAGCGAAGGAAATTTTTTATGCTAAGAATAGTTGAATCTTGTTAACTGTATTCGTCTTCAATTTTAAAACTGTACACAGTGTTCTCTATCCATGGTGTCTACATGTACACATCAAATAAACTGGAAAATACTTGATGGATGAATTGCATTTGATAAATACTGACAGTTTCTTCCTAAGCATAGCATATCTACCATGTGCAATTTGCCTTGCATTAGATATTACAAATGCCCTACAGATTATCTAAAGTGTGCAGAGAGATATGGGTTGGTTATAAGTACCACTTTATTTGGGGGAGGGACTAGAGCAACTTCAGAACTTGATATGCACAGATTTTAGTGTGTGTACAGTCCTTAAAACTAATCCCGCATGGATGGGTTCTAAGGCATGACTACGCTTGATTTGAATGACCTATTGGAGTCAAAAATTCTGTGGCAGAAACCTAGTATTTGAATTAGAAAGAACATCGATATCTTCTACCTGTTTATATTTGTCCTCAGATATCCAATACTTTTGTTATACATTATCAGAATATTTTATTGAACACTTCTTAATAAGAATGTATAACAACAGCCGTGCTTTGGTGGCACTCGCCTTTAATCCCAGCACTTGGGAGGCAGAGGCAGGCGGATCTCTGTGAGTTTGAGGCCAGCCTGGTCTACAGAGGGAGTTCCAGGACAGCCTCCAAAACGATACAGAGAAACCCTGTCTCAGAAAAACAAACAGACAAACAAACAAAAAGAATGCATAACAACAAGAAACTGTCAACATCATGTTTTTTCCCGAAATAATATATTCACTTTTTTATGTTTTCATAAGCCTCTAATGTGGCTACAAGGGTCTAGAGACCAGAACTAAGAAGAAACTCAGGAATCTAACTTTGCTTTGCCTTAATGGCTCAGGGACAACACCAAGTGTGAGGTTTGCACACTGCTGTTGAGCTGTCTGCAACATGATACAAGGAGATGGCTGCAGAATGCCAATAAAATATATATTCCTAATCCCGGCGCTTAGGTTGATTCCCTGGCCATAGCAAGACATTCTTCATAATGGAATCCGAGAACCTATTGAATCCCTCAGCCCTCCGCTGTGCTGTGCACATCTCAAAAGCAGATCAGAGGACAGAGGACACAGTGAGAGAGTTGTACAAAGGTTACTCTTATCCATAGCCAGGCTCAGACGTGTCACGTAACACTCTGGACTACTTTAGTGATCTGAGCTTTTGCAGACTCAGGCAACCGTGATGGGGGTTGGAGGTATATAAGACAGCGAGGCGTCTACATGGGGAGGGGAGTGGAAAACCCACCCACATTTTGCGAACAGAGTGGTCAGCCATAATGTTTTCTATCTTCATTCTCTATGCTTGGCTACAGGGCCATTTGAAGCAGCCCTTGCTCTGAATCACATTATCAGCACATGCACAAAGTCACACACACACACACACACACACATGTACTATATCTTCAAGAAGCCACGTCTCCCTGTTCAGTAATTAAGGATGCCTTTCATGCAACCCTGACCTGAAGACTTTCAAGTTTTGGTCCCTCAATCTGAACTGTACCTCAATCAGAGCTGTTAAGTAAGGACTTTTGCTTCCCCTGTTTTCTGAAGGCATCATTCGTATCATTTGTTGCGTCGTGTAGCAACAGCAAGTAACAGCAGAGGGGGTCGGGCATCCTCCCAGAAGGCTGTCTTCAGATCTGTCTGTGGCACGCTGTGATGTTAGCACGTGCACGCACACACAGAAGAGGGTGGCCGGCCGACTGTGCTCTTCCAGAGAATTCTTTAGCTCAGAGGGTTCTGAGCAGCACATCTTAAAACTGCAAACCTTTCATTCCACCCCACTTTGTCTCTTCAGTCCTGTTCTATGTAAATAGATAAATTTGTGCACTTGATCATATATTTTATAGTCTTGGGATTAAAATTAAGGCCTCTTTCGCTCAAGCATGTAGCTTACTTCTTCCTCTTTGAATGACCCAGCAGGAATCTTCCAAAAGAAGTTTGAAGCAAGTTCCTTTCTTAAAGAGTCAAGTGTATAGCCTAGACATTATCTATGTAATCTCTATGGTAGTTTAGATTAATATTGATAATATATACACTCATGCACACACTCACATGCATGTGTGTGCACATGAGCTCACACACACACACGGGGGGGGGGTAAGCTGTAGAGAACCAAGGAAGTGAACTTACTGTAGCCAGTCTGGTCAAGATAATTTAGTTTACATCTCAGTGTATGTCAAGAAACTGTATGGGCATATTTGCAACCTACAATCAATTTCTGTTTGAAAAATAACCACGGTCATTTATCTAGCTTGCTTCATAGCAACAGAGTATATTTTAAATAGGTTTCCTGTGTTTTTAGTAGCTTTGCCAATGCTGTAGACTTCTGATTTGTGGCAGGATACATACAGTGGTGGCTTCTAGAAGATACAGTAAAACTTACATACCTATGGTTCTGTAAAACCGTGACAAAAAGCAATTATTTCATGACAGCTGGAAGGGTCATACACAGGTGCTGTCTTCTACACATTTCAAAGTTTAGGATGCACTGATTTTTCTTAATCTGGCTTATTTAATATGATGATTTCCAGTTCTATCAATTTCCACCAATTACATATAGATGTATATATATACATATATATGTAGTGTGTATACATGCATATGCATACATTTTCTTTACAGAGAAGACTTTCAAGTTATTTTCTTACAGTTTTTTTATAGTATACTGTACACACAGGCCATACATAATCACCCTACTGCACAGCAGGAACTTCTTGTTCCTGCTCAGCTGTAACATAAAACCACCAGTCAAACTTTTACATTAATTTTTTTTCTAGAAAACCTGACAAGTCTACCTCCACCCAGATTCCAATCACTGTTTCCTTTCTCTTCTTATTTGCTAGTCCTGAAAACAGAGTAGGTTTTTTTCAATGTCACTTTTGACCTGCGAATCACACTTTGAAGAACTTGGGACGATACAAGTACCCAGCTTTCATCAGATTGTCTGTATCTAACGTGTCTAGTCAATGAATTTGTGTGTGTGGTGGGGAGTGACAGGCGAGAGTATGTGTGTAAAAGGGATTATATGCGACTGTGTGTATGTGTGTGTGTCTAAGTGGGTAATGTTTGAGCATGTGTGTGACTGTGTGTGTGTGTGAGTGTGTGTGTATGTGTGTGTGTAAGTGGGTGATGTTTGAGCATGTGTGAGTATTAGCAGATGAACTTTGGGCATTGTCCCTCACTTTTCCACCTTGTTGGAGACAGGGTCTCTTCCGTCACAGGAAACAGGCTAGCTGGCACTTGAGCCTGTACCGATGCTCCTGTTCTTAGTATTCAGGCATCTGTACTTGTTGGAAATGGTGGGTTACCCAGTGTCATGGGACCAGAATTGATTCCCTTCAGTCCCATTAGTGGAAAAGTAGCACCATCATATTCACTTAATATCGAATTCTGACCCAATTCTCATCTGTTCACGACTGAATAAAAGCGTACGCTTTTTATAAATTATGCAGCAACTGAAACAGTGAAGTGGGTAGCGATTTGCTCTCTGCTCTCCTCCAGGAGGCCACTGTCTCCATTTTTGAAATTCCATTTCCTCAGAGTGGAGGGCCCAATGAGCCAAGGAATGATGGGGTGACTCTGAACCCCAAAGGAAGACACTGCTTACTTCTTATCAGCAGAAAGGTCCTTTCGCGTCAGAAGAATAGTCGCCGGAAGAGACTATGTTAGTTCTTATGTGTTGGTAAGTAGGAAACTTTTACCACAAATCCCCTGAATCATTGGCGGTCCAGAACCTTGTCAACCCGTTGGGTACATCCATTATCCCTTTCCTTCCTGTAATAAAACAAGATGATTTATAACTAACTTGAAGGTTGATGGATTCAAAGTAGTCACAAACACTGCGAAGAGGGGGAAAACTCAAGCCCACCTTTATGCACAGCTTTAGATCTGAAAAGTTTCATTTCCTTTTGTGCCTCCTAGGAAACCCCACTGCAGTGGAAGCCCAAAGCATTTTGGTATAGACTTGTGTTTGCAGCTTGTGGAGAAAAAATCAATTACGTATTCTCCTTTCTAAGGGAGATTTTTGCCTAGCTCTCTCAACATTATTAATTTCCTCTCAATGTAAATTGCTCTACCTATGAAAAATGACTCTGGGCTAACTACTAAAGCAAGAACTTGGGATGGAAAGGTTCAGAGGGTTCAGTCTCATTAATTTACTGCTTCTCCTGTACCTGGGGGGGAAAAATCTGTTTTCATTTCACAAGCTTTAATTACTCACCAAGTGGCTGTAAATCTGCATGTTGTTCCAGGTATACTATGGGACAACAAAATGGATCAGGGACGGCTTCTGTTCTAAAAATACTTTGATCTACTGAGGGCCATAATCAAGATATCCAAAGCAGGATTAAAGAAACCAGCTTTCAGGGAGGAATGTCGTAATTAAAAACTAAACAAACAGACAAAGGACAAAAGAAGGTGTTCCTGTCCCAGGTGGGTCACTGGGTACTTTAGTCCTGAACAGTGATAAAGCAACTATTGCCTAAATGTGTCACTCACTGATGGCTGCCCATGTAAAGGTAAGAGAGCCCACTCCTAAAGTAAGCTGCATAAATACAAAGGGAAGACGGCTATGGATACACACAGAGCAAGCCATTAACTATAAATAGATGGGCTAGCAACTTGGAAGGCAATTAAGTGGAAAATTAACAGCAATGTGTTGCAAACATGCCAAATTTCTAGGACACATCATTCAATCTCTAAAGATTAGCTAAGTCTCTGGGTGCTTTTATACAAATCTTTAAAAGTACAGATTGGGAATTTGTTATAGTATTGTGTGGCTCTTTTTTAATTTAGACTTGCTGTTCTTGTGCCATGGACTGTGGAAGGCATGATTACACATTTGGGAGGCAATCAAAACTCAGCCTTATCATTACAGTGAGTCCTTCCAGACAACCGTAAACAAACTGTCTGGCCCTCTGCGGGAGACAGGGATGTACAAGTTTGATTAATGGTTGGCATTAATGGCACCTGGGATGGGCACAGTTGAAATCAGACCTCAGGAAACGCTTCAAGGACGGACGGAAGCAGCATCTGCAGCTACGTAGGGAAACGGTTCCATCCAGGATGGAAAAGGGTATCAGGGAGGAAGCCGAATTTAAATCGAAATCCCGAGGGCAGCATGCAGAGGGGAAGGACTGAGGAGAGCAAGGCGGTTGCATCCAGTGTCCTCTGGAACCGCCCTGCTGTTTCCGTCTTCGTCCCTGCGAATCTCTCTGTGCTCCATATTGGGTCTGTCCTCTTGCAGCTGGGGTTCTTTCCTGTGGCCCCCGTGCTAGCTAGCGCTTTAGCTGAAATACCTTCCGGGCTGGGTCGCTTGGGCTCCCCTTCTTGAGTGTTTCCTGTTGGTTGATTTGTTTTCTTCGTTTCCTGGAGGATCAGTGTTTTAAATACCTCTATTTAAGCATAAGTTATTTCAAAAACAGAAACAAAACATTGAGCCTTTAAGAGCATCTCTGCTCCTTCCAGAAGACCTGGGTTTAACTCCAAGCACCCACATGGGATAACTCACAACCTCCTCCAAGTCCAGCTCCAGGGGCTTCGAGGTCTTATGGCCTCTGTGGGTCTATACACACAAACTCACACAAATACACATTAAAAAAAAAACCTTAAAGCCTAAAATCTAAAATGAAATTAAAAACTGAAAGAGATTGCTGTGTATTTTTTTTTGTAAAAACCCTGGCTACCAGTTTCTGGACAGTGGTATTTACATTGATGGCAATCTAAGCAGTGAAGACTTGTGTACCTAGAGTGTTCTTTCCTGTCACCAGGATTTCCAGTTAAAGAGCTTACAAGTGCTTATCCCTCCTTGTCCACAGATGTCTTTCCTGAGGCTTGGTTTGTTTACATCTGAAGTGAAGATGATACCGTGTATTGAAGGGGGAAACTTGTCTCCTCAGGAACTAAGATTCTGAAATGACTATGAAGAAATTTCTTATATACACGCTTAAAGTTGTGATGTCGTTCCTCCTATACGTTTTCAAAATTATGCTCTCCTGTAGTCTCGCACCTCTCCTCAGATCTCAGAGACCTGGATGAAAAGGTAAAAGAAGCACATAATCCCACTCTCTGTAGCTGCTAAGGGACAGAAAAATAGAAAGATTTTTTTAATGTCTCTCAGTCAACGTATTGATTTGATGTCATAAGATGCTTAATGCAGCTTCTCTATTCTTTTTGAAAAATAAAAGAAATGTCTAGATAGTAAAAATTTTATTTTCAGTAAAAAGATACATAATTACAAATACCCAAGTTGCCTTGCTCAGTGCAGTCAAGATTTCTTGTGTGCCTCCTGTGAGCCGAGTGGCCACTCTGGTCCTCGGGGGAAGACCAGACAATAGGTGCTCCCAAAGCCCTCTAAGGCACAGGTCTTCAGCAGTCAGAGCTCCATTTAAAGGAATTAAAGTTCACAGTAAGGGAAGCATTCTAGAGGCAAGGAGGTGAGTGTGCTTCAGGAAGACATAAGTGGGCTCGGCACTTGGGTCACTCACTGTGTGCTTTTTCAGGGATCACAAGAAAGGACATTTTATAGTTGCCCTTTAGAAATTTCTGTTGACATTTTAAAGATCTGAGTGTAACTTTAACTTGTGATTTCTTGTTTAACCTGTCAGGGGTCACCCTTGCCTGGAGGATTATGGTCAGGTTGAGCAGAGTCTACATCATCCTTGCCTGGAGGATTATGGTCAGGTTGAGCAGAGTCTACATCATCCTTGCCTGGAGGATTATGGTTAGGTTGAGCAGAGTCTACATCATCCTTGCCTGGAGGATTATGGTTAGGTTGAACAGAGCCTACATCATCCTTGCCTGGAGGATTATGGTTAGGTTGAACAGAGCCTACATCATCCTTGCCTGGAGGATTATGGTTTACTTTGAGCAGAGCCTACATCACCTCTAGTTCCACATCAGGAAGGGGTGCATCATCTCCAAACACTAACAAAACCCTACTCATTTGTTCAGTTTATCATTAATTAACAGCAATGAAAGATCCTTAACACTCATACCCAGGCATGGGAACATAATAACAAACAAACAAACAAGCAAAACACACTTTCTTTTCCTATGCAGGAAGAGAGAAAGTCAAACTATACTTGACTCTAAGAAGAGGAGAACATAAGAAAAAAAAAACCTACTTGTGCTCTGAGCTGTAATGACAAGGCTTGATGTTTTCTCAGTAGGCCACAATGAGTGCAACAAAACCTCATTGGAAGCAAGGAAGTGTCACTGCTCCAATTCCAATTTTGAAAGATTTATATACTACTGGGTAGATAGAGAATGGAAATCAAAGCAGTGTAGAGAAGAGATGACCGCATATGACTATTTACTGTAACTCTGCTAACCATGCCAAGAATGGAATTAACTTAGGTGTTCAACAACAGGAGATTGGATGTAGTGTGAAACTTAGTACTCCACCATTAGCCACGTGGCATATTAGAGGTGCATACAGATGAGGTAATAAAAGGGTGGTTTACCGCACCGCTAACCACACCCACTTTAGGCGTGACTAAAGAAGTATACGGATGTAGGCGGTGAACTACGTCACTAGCCAGGCCCACTTTTGGGCATGGCTAGGGGCATGTACAGAGGAAAGAATAAAAGACTAAGCAGCAGAACCTCTCGCTCTCTTTTTGGCTTCCAGTTCAGCTGCGGAAAAATACTCCGCTCATCTGGGTTGCTTGTTTTTCTCTTGTGAGTAATTTCTACAATAAATACTTACCTATACTCTCAATAAGTGTGTCGTTTATGGTTGCAGCATCAACTGGATGTGGGAAATGTAGCACAGACACAACTTGGTCATTAAGCCTACTAAATGACCTCATCTACAGTAACATGGATGGGACTGGAGGGTAGTGTACTCAGAGAACTAAGGGCAGAGAAACTTGGCATGGTTAACAGAGTTACAGTAAATAGCCAAATGCAGTCATCTCTTCTCTCTGCTGCTAGTAGAGAGGATTTTGAGTATTTCCAACATGAAGACAACATCTTTGCAGTAAGGGATAAATCAATGACCATGATCTGATCATCATAGGTTATATTCCTCTATTGGAATGTCACTTCGAGTGTCCATCAGAGGCCATTTACTTTTTTTTTTAAGGGAGATGACTTGCTGGTTGGATAGTACATAATGGAAGAGGAGGTGGAAGAGAGAAGAGGAGGAAAAGGACAAGTTTCTCACAGCTTTAGGATCTCTGCTGGTAAGAGCATAGAATACTGAGAGCAGACAAGGACGCGATTGAGGACATCCAAGGACATCAGGAAGAAAACAGAGACTTTTAGACAACGTAATAGAGTCCAAAGTGAGGGGAAAAGGTTGTGAATGTGACGTTCCTGTCCTTTGCACCTGAGTAGACACCAGTGAAGGAAACTCCATAAGTCACTGGGCCTCAACACTGAAACAGCACAGCCAATAGGATAGTTCCTCACAGCAGTGCCTGTAGCGGTGCCTGTAGCTCAGCGTGATGACCCAGAGAGTTAGGTTATAGCCAATAAGAAGAGCACAGAGGAGCAGGAGGAGTTCCCTGGGCCTGACTGTTAGGTTTTGCTTTTGTTGGTTTCTAGTAAGCTCCATAAGTGAAATCAATTTTTTTCTGCAAGTTTATCTAGACACGGATTATTTTTAAATAATTTTTAAATCATTAAAACTGTTTATGTGTGTGCATACACAAAAAGGCATACCAAGTATGCAAAACATACTTCTAAAATTCCTTTTTCCATTTTTATGTATTTAATGTAACACTTTATGTACAGTCACTCTGAGATAATAATTCTAAAACTTGCCAGGTGCCCATTCAAAACCCCCTCAGTAATGGGCCTAAGGTAGTTTCGTATGAACTACATGTAAGTAGTCCACAGAAAACTTAATTTGACACAGGAAGAGAAACTTTGACACATTCATTCCCCTATAATAAACGAGCTATTAGATAAAATGACTTCACTAATTTTATAGCATCTTTACAATAAGCATTTTCCACATTTTATTTCAGCACATGACTTCCCGATATTTATGCCTGACCCATATTTACCTTTGGAAATCTAGATAAATTGGCTAGGCTGATATTTTGAGATATGATTTAAAGCTTTCTATTTAACATTTCACTATAATTTTTGCTTTCCTACCATTTCAGTCATAGTAATTCATTAGCAGAGGGGAGGGATGATGCAACGGAGAAAGAAGTAAATCTTGGGGCTTTGGATATCAACTGTCTGTCTCTCAGGAGAGTACAAGGAAGAACTCAGGACATAAAGTATGCTCTAGAGCTCGTATGATTACTCTGAGGGCACAGGTCTTCTATCCTGGAGGCTAGATTAATTGCCTCTTGGCTGGGAAAGAAAATGAGTCAGAGGAGAAATGAAGAAAACTGAGATATCGATGGATTCCTGAGAAAGGTCTCGGGGCCCTTTTGTCCCAACGAACCCTACCTCACTCTGTTGTTCTTAGTCAGGCTGTCACTCCTGGGGCCTGTTCCAAATCCTCTCCCAACTCCATGGCTGTGCATCAAGACTTAGCAAATAGCACAGTAATTAGCAATAAAGTATTGGCTCTGCAAGGTCACAGGCGTGGATAATTATTTCACATCTTCCCGAAGAAAATCTTGAAACCTCTATGAAAAAAAATTCGGGTGAAAAGCCTTGCTTTCCTGAGATGTGGGAGTCTGTCATTCTCGGCTACCTCTGTTGCTAGAAGGATATCAGTGCTTCTGGGACACATTTCGCCTGTAATCAAATGGTTGATTGCAATGTCAACTTATGTTGGATGGCTTGATATGTGATAAAGTCAAAGTCAGCATTAAAGACCTGTATAGCTGGCTCTCTTGGACTGCCAGCCCTCAGATCATGATACAGAGACTTAAGTATTAATTATGAATGCTTGACTTTAGCTTAGGCTTGTGTCTAGCTAGCTCTTTTTTTAACTTAAATTAATGCATTTCCACTTACCTATGTGCTGCCCCAAGGTTTGTTTACCTCGTCTGTGTACTGTCCCTCTTGCTGTCCTGTTTCCTTCGTGTCTGGCTGACTGACCTCTGGAGGACTGGCCTAGCTCCCCTTATCTCTCTGACAGCCAGCCAGCTTCACCTGTCTGTCCTCTGCCTGCCTAAGGCACCTGATTGGGTTAATAACAAGCAACACATCCCTGCTTAGTTAAGCAAATGCAGCATAAAAAATGCAACACATCTTTACATAGTTAAGCTAGTATTCAACAACAGCCCTGTGAAGTTTTCCTAAGGGGAAAATAAATGTCAGGTTTTCAGGACTCTGTGTCTTAATACATTTTCTGTTGCTAACACCACATTATGACTAACTAGGTGAGTCATGGAGCAAATATTAGTTCACAGCTCTGGCCTTGTTAAATTGAGGAAGGTCACATCTAGTGATGCCTTTCATGCTAGCAAAATTCCAGGGTGACTCCAGACATCAGATGACAGACACAGGAATTGTGTGTGTGTGTGTGTGTGTGTGTGTGTGTGTGTGTGTGTGTGTGTGTGTGTGTGTTCCTGTCTTCATAAAACCCCAGAATTCAATCACTGGGCACCACCAAAAGGACTTTACTCAATTACTGCCCCAAAGTCCTACCTTCAGGCATCATGGTCAGTCTAAGTTTTCACTTTTTTGATTCTTCATAATGTGAATTAAATTTTACCACATGAAGCTTTGAGAAATATAGTTTACTCAATGTCCTAACCAAAACCACTATGATTAAACCATCTTTCATCTGCCCAACATGGAGACACTTTGTTGTAGAGTCTTCTACTCAATAGGCCAAACAGAACCCAGGATCAGAGGTCATCTAGGCAAGCCCCCCAAATGAATGAAAAGCACCCCATGATTTATTTTTTCTCTCTCTATATATAAATTAAAGTTACTTGCCAGGTTGGGCAACAGCTCAGTGGTAGAGCATGTGTCTAGCACTCACAAGACCCTGGCTTTGATCCTAACCCTGATGAGTGTGATAACAATGAAAAATTATAAAGATAGACTATTTAGATTTCAGATGACATAATATTATATGGAGGAAATTCTAGGAGAATTTGTGAGCAACTTTTTAAAAATTTCTGTTAGTTTATCAAGATAGAGAACCAGTATCAGCAAAGATTAATCCTGTTTCTTAATAATAGCAAAAAGATATTCAGAATGCTAAAATTTTAAGAAATGTTCTTTTGTAAGAGTATAACAACACTTAGAAATAGATCCACAGAGCGAAAGATGACTGAACAGAAATCTATAACCACCACAGGCATACTGATAAGTTCTAAGTAAACAGAGAAGAGGACATACTCTGTCATTGTGCTTATGGACTGCAAAATTCAAGATGATAGAAATATTTTTAACTTTAATTTATAGATTTAATGCAATATCAATAAAAATCCTTAGGTTCCTGGAATGTATCTGTGTACACACAATGGCATAGACTTTTTCTGAGATAGAATCTCAAATCTCATGTATCTCAGGCAGGTTTGAACTCACTGGGAGCTGAGGATGACCTTGAACTCCGAGTGCTGGAATTGTGCTACCACATATGACTGCATGAGGTCCTGAGAATCAAGGCAGGCCTGCATACATGCTAGGTAAGCACTGTAGCAACCTTTTCCCAATAAACTCTTGAAACATAACTTTCCTTGCTCTCAGAAAGGTAAGATTCTGTATCTTAAATACATTTTATAGTGATCTCAAGGTTTATTTTTCCCCTAAAATATAAAATAGTTATCTTTGTCCTTGAGTATGCAAATTCAGCCTCCTGTACCAAGAATGATGACATCTGGTAGTCTCCAAGGAAGCCACTCAATACCTGCCAGAGCACAGTAAAGTAGCTGTAGTATCTGGCTAGTGTGTACCAAGGCTGTTGGAGAATGTGTGACTGATGGTGCCAACATGTTGGAATTCCAGTCTTTCCCATCCACAGTTGGTCTCAAGCATTTGTTCCAGAATGTGCTGCCTCTAACTGTTGTATGTCTCCACACATACCTGGCTGGCTATGGGATGCTATTTCTTCATAGATTTTCTTGCTCAGCCACACTGACATTGCTGTGAGTTGCCATCTAATTCTTCACACTCATGATTCTTGGAGCCTGTTGTGAGATCTAAAAATATTTGGTATCTGCAGTCTTTAGAAAACTAATGTTAAGGATTAAACTGGCATATCATCGGGATTTTTCTAAATGGGAACTGAGTCCAATTTGAGTTAGAAAATGGGACATTTTACATTCTATTTTAGTATTCTTTTAATAGTGTAGCCTAAGAGAATTTATTCTTTCAGACTTTCATAGCTGCAGACAATGAACTATGAATCATATTCACTGTTGTTTCTCTCCTTTAACCTTCCCCATTTCTTTGTAACAACCCCCTCCTAATTTCATGTCCTCCTTTTTTTTTCTTTAAAATAAGCCACTAAATCTGATTAGTGATGCATAATTGTGGGGTGGGATAGGGAGCATGGGCAACCTACCAATGACCACAACCCCAAAGAAGAATGATCTCCCTCTCGCAGGCAGCCTACAATCAACTGCCAGGATTTTCATAGTTAGGGGCGGGACCTCATGAACTCCTCCACCATCCATGCTGGGATTTGGGGTAACTTGATTTTTTTTCAGGTAACTGAAACCACTTTGAGTTTACAAGTGTTATGTTTTCATTGTAATATATTTTTTCAAAGACACACGTGAATTTTTTTTCTGAGAAAATTAACTCTCCCTAGAATACACAGTACAGAGATATTGAGTATGACACATAGCGCAGAGGTGGAAGATTTGGCTCTCAATCTAGGTGAGATATTGGGTTCTAAAGCCACCATCAAGTCATCTCTTCTCACCGTGGTTGCCTGTATCAACATGGAACAACACACAAGATAGTTTAGGGTTCTGACTCCTGTTTTTTTAAGGTGGTAGGAGAATATTTTTGTAACAAACCACAGACACTCAAGTATCACAAAGCAAATCCCTGCACCTATTGTGGTGGATGTTGCTGCTGACTGCTTTAGACCTGAGTGAAAAGATTTACAAGAGAGGATTTTTGAAAATACAATCCTATGCCAACAGTGAAGTAGTAATATGATAGAGTACCTTCCAAAAGGAACCCAAGGGGATGGTGTTCCACAGATCGAGCTTTAAGAAATGTAATTCCTAGTTTGAAGCAATGATGACTGCTAAAGAAATGGAGAAATCGCGTTTAGCTTTTTCTAGACTACAGTGGTGAGAGGCAGGGAAAGGGGGGATAGAGTCTGTCAGTGGAAATGATTTTTAATCATAACCTGAAAAATGCATTTTATGACGCTGTGGTTGCGGTGTCTCAGGCCTTCAATCCCAGCGCTCGATGGGCAGAGACAGGAAGATCATAAACCTGAAGCCAGCCTGGGCTAGTGAGTTCTAGGTGAGTGTGAATCACACAGTGAGAGACACTGTCTCTAAGGACAGAACGCGAAATGTCTTTGAACTCTTTCGAAAGTCAAATAACTCACTTGGCTTGACTTGGTAGATAGCATAGACAGACTTTCTTCTGTTTCATTAACTGAGAGCTGACTTCTTACCAGCCTCAGTGTCCAAACAGAAACCCAACTCATGACCCTCTTGACTGGAAATCTTGGACCCAGGCACAAGTTCAGTGGCCAAGGCGGAAGCAATCGTGCCATTTACTCCAACACCATGGACCATCTTGTTCATAAGAGGAAGAGCTGAACCAGGGAAGTTTCTGGTCTGCTGCCTTTTGTTTCCTTCCCAGACGACTATGACCTGGTAAATTCAGATTACAGAAGAACTGAAACCCTCTTGAGAAAGAGTAAACGTATTTTTTTAAACTTTCCCTTGGCCCATATTACTTGGTTAATTTTTCACCTCTCAAATCGTGCTTCCTATATTTGACACAGCCCCTGCTCTCTGTTCCCTGTTCCTTCACACCAGTCAAGGATGAGCTCTTGTATAAACTTTAACTCTAGGTCACACCCTCTGTCACAGCAGCGACTGTCTGAATCCGCATCGTCACCTGGACCCTTATGTGTCCTTCTCATTGCAACATTCCTTTGAGAAGGCACCCGGGTACAGGGCTACTGCCTTCTTTCTCTGCTACACGAGTTTGCAGCCTGCTTGGTGTCCCCCCTCTGTGTCCTTAAGGGAATGCACCCTAATCTTGAGTCAATTCCTGACACCCAATTTAGTGACTTCATCAACTCAAAAATGGTTAAAATTGAGGTCACACTCGTCAGATGTCTTGTAAAGGATACAGATAGATTTCCTATGTAAGCTCAGGGCACAACAAGGAGCCACAGGAGGTCTCAGAGGGCTTTGCAAATGGTCCTGAATTATTCAGAATTATGTAAGATAGGTTACTTTAGGAGCCTTTAGCATACACATTCTTAGGCATCTAAGCAGTAGCACATTTGTTGCCCTCTTAAATGAAATCAGAGACTCAACAGTGTGGCAGGCAAGCTCTTCCTCCAGTCATTCAGCTACAGTACTGGATGTGATGAGAGGGGGCATAGTATGGGGGTATTGTGGGTATTGGCCAGCTGTGTCTGAGATTTCAATACAAGTTTGATCATCCGGCCAGATGACCTTGGAAGCAGATTCTCTCCAGAACCTTACTTGACTTGTCCAATAAATGAGATGATAACTCTGTCTTCTCAGAGGACTGCCTTGGACATTGAATTTCATAATAGTGTAAAGAGTCTGGGAAATAATAGACACTTTTCAAACCGCATGTCTTCACTGGGAAATCACTGCACCTCGAAGGCACTGTCTGGACCTTAGCATCAGCACCCTCCCTGATACTGTCCTCCTCTATCAGCTGGGGCTGATTTAGTTACAAAAAAGTTCACATTGCTGAGTAATTATAAGATTATAAAGCATAGAGGCGATGTGAAGCTCAGGTGCACTTTGTACTGGACTCTGCTACAGTCTTCTATTGTACTCTTAGCTCTGTCCTTCTCTGTAAAGAGAAGCTTTTTCCTTGAGAGAATCCTTCCCGCCAGCCTGGTTCTAGAGCCGCATCAGTCCCAAATAAACACACAGGAGGCTATATTAATTATGAAGCTGTTGGCCTTGCTTGTTTCTTACTGGCTAGTTCTGACTTAAGTAATTACCCCATCATTGTTAATC